CCAATGAATTCAGTTGCATCAAATGGAACTGACTTCCGAGGAGACATGGGTAGAGTTGCCGTGTGAGTCCTGGCGTTTGGGATCACAGCGAGCAGCTAAGGTTAGAGGAACAGGATATTTAGTACTGTCCATGGATGTTCATAGGTTAGCGGAGAAGCTAACATGGGAAAACATATCTGTAGTCTGGAGAACAGAGAAAGAGAGAGAGAAGACTCAAGGAACTAGCCTTAAAAACAAAAGCAAGACCCAAATCTATTCCAGTGATATATGAATGGAATACTAGGGCTTACTCCAGAGTAATTAGGGTCGGTGTGTGTGAGAGAAGGTTCAGGAGGATCTTTCCCCACGAGAGGTGGCTGATCATGACCCCAACTGGACTCAGTGTGGGGAGAAATTGTGTAGAACTGGAATGGGAGGCCAAACCATAGGCTGTGGGAAAATATGGTGTTCTTTCCTTCATCCCTCTCTCTTCCTCCATCAGGGATTGCGTTTATCTCTCTCTCTCTCTCCTTTCTCTCTAGCTATACATGCTGATAAACATATTTGCCCATTTCGAAGGCAAAGGCTTGTGGATTCTGTTCAAACGGCTTTCCCCCTAAATCAAGAGACATTTTTATATACCTCTTCTTATTGCTCAGGTGAAACACTTAAACATTTTAAATCCCCACTGTTTACCAAAAGTGGGTTTGATCTGCTTAAACAGATTGCCTATCTATCTATCTATCTATCTATCTATCTATCTATCTATCTATCTATCTATCTATCTATCTAGGTTAAAGAAAGAGATGGTTCCTCCTTGCCTGTACCTACCTACCTACCTACCTACCTACCTACCTACCTACCTACCTACCTACCTACCTACCTTCCTTCCTACCTACCTACCTACCTACCTACCTACCTACCTACCTACCTACCTACCTACCTACCTACCTACCTACCTACCTACCTACCTACCTACTTCCTTCCACTGTCTGTCTGTCTGTGTGCCTGTCTTTTTTGTCTGTCTGTCTTTCTCTATCTGTCTGTCTTTCTCACCTCCATCATCACCACCACCACCATCACCGAGTGTGTCACCCACTACTGTGTGAAAGCCCCAATCCGTGGCTTTTCCAGCGCTCCTGCCCCTGGTTCGAAGAAGGAAAAGATGCTGCTGCTCCAGAGAGACGCAGATACGGAAGCCTTCCAGGGCTGGGGAGGACCTTAGCCGGAGAGAGAACCTGTCATCTCTTCAGCACTGCGCAGGCCGCCGCATGCAAACTCCCCAAGAGTCCTTAGGGTCTCCCAAGGAAACCAAGAGGGCGAAACCTCTCCGCTTCAGCTGGCCGCCCCTCCCGGTATCATTTCATCTTTCTCTCTGTCTCTTGTTTTATTTTGTTCTTCCCCTTTCATCTCGATCTTCTTTTCGGGCTGTCCGAGTGACGTTGCGCGTGGCCCTCGGAAAATAATTTTTAACGGGCTTGAAGTTTTAAATCACAGCAAGAGTATTAAAAGAATATTTCGAAGCCTCTCCCTCCCAGCCTCTTCTCTCCTACAATCCCTTTCCTGCGCGAGAAAACAGATACCTAGGGTAGAATGACA